CCCCAAAACCCCAAAACCCCAAAACCCCAAAACCCCAGCTGGTGAGCAAGCAATTGAAAAGGGCAAAATTTGGTTTGTGTTAATATTAAAAATAAAAATGGAACTCTGCACAAAAATTTGAGCAGATAATGATGACAATGATACTGTTTACTAAGGTGCTTTTTAAGGAACGTATTTCTGTGAATTGCATTTGGGTCAGAATTATGAAGAATTCTTAGTTTTGAAGAGTTTAGCTGCTAATTTCATTAAAATACTAAAGCATTCAAATCAGCAAATCAGCTTACTATTTTGAACTATGATCCTGATACTAAGACAAACTTTCTCTCTTCAGATATCTTCCCATCTCTTGTTCTAAATATACGAAGAGAACTTCAAATGCTCTTAGACTTTATTAAGAAACTTATAAACAACCAAGAAAAGAACAAATCTAATAAGCGTATGTTAAACTATACCAAACCTCAATAAGCTTCTTTCCAAGATCTTAAGCTCAAGTCAATTAATGACTTAGCAGACTTATTTATCGTTAAAAAGTAGCATCCTGCCATCAGATAATCATTGATGAAGATCCTTCATCCAAAGCCTTTAGCATTAGCTTTTCAGAGATCTTGTTATTCGAAAATTGGCAATTAAATTTTGTAAAATTTACCTTTCTCAGATGTCTCATTGCAGCCTCAGTTATTTTTAAGTAAGATTTTAAATTTAGAAGAGTCATCCTCTGCCAAAGAACATCTTGTGACTTAGAAGTCGGAAATTCAAATTTAAGCAATATTATGGATGATAAGACATATGAGTCTGTTTGTATATGAGTAATAGTTGAGATATTTTCAAGAAGAAATAGATTGAGATAGGAGTATGAAAAATCTGGTAAAATAGAAACAAAGTTGATCAGAAACAAGCCAAGCAAGAAAATTAATTGAAATCAGATCACTACACAGTTTACCTTTTCTCTTTTCGTACTGTCTTTATCCACCAAATATCAATACTTCAATCTCAGATGCTGACTGAGGGGTTTTGGGGTTTTGGGGTTTTGGGG